CCGGGCCAGACGCCGCGCTCGGCAGCGGACGTGACTGAGTTAAGATGGCCTCGGGGGCCCTCTGGGGGCGGTCAGGGCCGGGCAGCCAGGGCCTCGTCCCTAGAAGCCGCGACGCTGCAGTTAGCCGGCTGCGGAGAGCCGAGGTCCCAGCTGGTGCCTGAGTAGATTCCGTAAACGCTGAAAACAGATCCGACCCTTGGGGAAATAACTCCAGATCGTAAGGGAAGATCGAAAATAGGGAGTGATCTTTGATGCTTCTGTCGGAAAACCTAATTTTGAAACGTATTCGTGAGCGTCACGAAGGATCGAAAGCCCAGGCTCCGGCGCGGCACAGCCCTGCTCTGCGCGGCTCGGGGCCTCCGCCTGGACGCCGCCTGGACCAGGCCACGGCGGGTGGCCACGGCTGGGTGCAGCGCAGCGCGGCTGCCCCACCAGACCGGCGGGCAGGGACGGTGTGCAGGCCGGGGGGCCGCAGGGTCTGCGTGGTAACGCCGAGGGCGACGGAGCTGGACATGCGGCAGCCAGTGAACCCCGGGGCCCAGCCCTCCCACCCCTCGGACAGCCGGGAACCCCAATGCTGGGACCCCGCACGGGGTGCCCAGACATTACCAGGTCTCGCTCTGGGCTGGCTTGGAGCCCCCTCGGAGGCTTCCCCCTCGGCACCCACCGGCGGGCGCACCAGGCACCGGGCACCCTGCTTCCCAGCGCTCTCGGGCCATCACCCCACCACGTGGCCTGAGCAGAGGCAAGGAGGCGCTGGAGGCTGCAGCCCAGGACAGCCGTGGGCAGGAGCATGGCCCGTCGGCGCCTTCCGGGCAGCACCCGTCGGCGCCTTCCGGGCAGCGCACCTGCCTGCATGACGCCGAGGCTCCGCTGCAGAAGCTGGATCTGGAACCTGTGATCGCCAAGGCCGACCATGATCACGTCCTTACACACGGTCAGGTAGGTCTGCAAGAGAGACTTCTGGAGACTGCCACGGGCCGCAGAGGGGGAGGGGAGGGCCACGAGCAGACGCGCTTCCAGGCTCAAAGGGCGGCTGGTGCAGACTTTCTACGGGAATCCCACGAGGGCGCAGCCACGCCCCGTTTCTGTCGGCGCCCGGAAGCGCGCGCCGAGCTGCCTGGCCTACGCGGGCCGACCGACCGCGCTCAGGGTGTCGCTCCCGCGGGGGCCCCCGGTTTCTGCGTTCAGGTAGTTAAACGCGTTTGCAAGGGAAGACTCCGAGGAGGGTCGGCCGGCCGAGGCCGCAACTGCGCGGCCGGCCGGGCGCTGACCTGGATGGTCTGCTGGTAAGCGACCCGGCGCGGCTTCAGGTCCTCCTCGTCCTGGCCCTGGATCAGCGACAAGACTCTGCTCTCCAGCCAGAAGCCGGTGTCTTCCAGGGCGGACAGGGAAACGCTGCCCTCGGAGCAGAGCTGCGGAGGCCGCAGCGGGGTGAGGCTCGGCCCCCGCCGTCCTCTGGCCCCGGAGGACGCCGGCCGCCCGCTCACCCTGTGCTGCAGGTGGACGCTCAGCCGGCAGTGCAGGCTGAAGGCTCGCAGCGCCGCGGCCTCGCTGAAGGCGCGAGGCTTCCCGTCGGGCGGCTGCAGCATGGACTCCAGGTCCGCCTGTGAAGCGCAGGCGCGGAGGTCACCCGCCTGGCCCCGCGGCAGCCCTGCCCGCGGGGTTCAGCCTCTCCTGGCCCCCGCCCCCAAGGGTCAGGGCAGAGACCCGCGACTCCAGGGCAAGGCGAGACCGGCCCAGGTGCAGCGCCAGGGCTGGGCGGGCTCCGCCCACAGCACCAAGCCCCGGCCAGCCCTGGGCAGAGCAGGGCCCCGGGCTCGGGCCTGGACAGTGCTTAGTTGCGGGGAGCGCGCAGCCGGAGAGCCTGAGGGCGGCCCCACCCCAGCTTGCTGGTGGCCGGACCCAGCAGGCCCCGGCGCTGACCTGCTCCCACCCCGGAGGCCCGCAGGGAGAGCGGCCTGCCCGCATGCTGCCCGCCCGCCCACCAGGTCACCTTCGACGTCTCCAGAGCCCTCAGGAGCTGCGTCAGCCTCTTGCGGGGGGCCGAGAGCAGGCTCTCCCGGTTCTTCGGGTGCGTGAGCAGGTACTCCAGGTACACCAGCGCCAGCTCGGGCTTGGCCGGGCCGGCGTCCTGGGCCTTGGCTCTGCGCCTGGATGCGGCGCTGCCCTGCGAGGCCAAGAGTGACCGCGGCTGGCCCC